CCTGTTAGCCTGAAGCAGAATCAGTGTTTACTTTGCTGTCATACCTTCTTTTGCAGGTACAATGTAGAGATTAAAAAAGTTCTCTCTTCCCCAGAGAAAAGGTTTAAACCAACCTTTGTCTCGTCTCTTGCCCCCCCCCCTCCCCCCCCAAGAAAATGAAAATAGAATGGGTTTTTAAAAGATAAAACAATTAAGGAAGGCATTAGTTGTATGTCCATGATGTTGTTTTAGGTGTTATCTATTCCTTTCTCACAGAAAGGAAAACTTGTGCCTTATATAAAATGGAAAATCTGACTAATGCCATGCAATTTCTCATGCTTGGTTCTTTTCATGGTTTTCTTTGCAATTTTATGCACCAATCAGTGTCAACTTTTGGTCTAAATATAGAATTGGTGAAAATCATTCATCAGTTTGAAAAGAATTATTTTTCCTCAGGTAAAACTTTTTATTTTAATTAAAAAAGTGGATTTCAAAGCCTGCTATCAGATAGATTTACGATCAGTTTTGTTGGCAAGCTGTCTTGAACTTTTTAGTGTGTTATTGCCTCAAATCTTAGGCTAATAAGTATGCTTGCTTTAATGGCAGTTGGCTTTTAAGAGACGCTAAGAGCTGGCCTGGGAGTGGTTTGGGACCTTGTTATTTCTTGTGCAAGTTAGAAATAAAATACCTATTAGCCCATACAAAATCCTTTCATGCTCTCATCTCCCTTCCTTTTCCCTGGTCTTCATGATTACTGCATGATTTAATGTAGTCATATTGTAATAGTAGTCATATGACTATCCTGGAAAACCAGAAAACACATCAGCTAAACTTAGTAGTTTTTACTAATATTCAACTAAAATTAAGAAAGGCTTTTCTCTTACAGTATTACTAGACTAATTATTATTAGTCTAGTAATACTATTACTAAGACTTCCCATTTGTAGCTACCCTATTCGGACTTATTCCTTCTGATTTTTTGTCAGTGAGATGCTGCTGATTGCTTTTTCTGCAGTGGACCCACATGGAACAAATATGTTTTAATATTTAATATTAATAAACAGTCTTAATTTGAATGTTTATAGGGATTAAAAGATGAATTCTAACAGTGAGGAAAACCAGGCAAATGTTGCATATGTTTCAAAGTAGTACAATGTGGACATGTTCCCTTCATGCTCTGGTTGCTCTCAGGTTTTTTTTTGTTATTGGTTTTTTGTTTGTTTTTGTTTTAATGTATAAGTCATTAACTAGCAAACTTGGAAAAGAACAACAGTGAAGGTGAAAAAAGAAGGTGAAGTGGGGTTTGGCCTAGATGATATTTAAAGGTCCCTTCCAACGCAAACCATTCTATGAAAACGCATGGATTATCATACAAGCTAAAAATCAGAATACAAACCTTTGCGATATGGAAGTGGAACTACTGTTGCTTGAATTTGAGACATCGTGATGCCTTATATTTGTTGTTCTTATCTGTGATGCCGTCTAAAAGATGGAGTGGGTATGCATCACGTATTTCTCTTACTTTGATAAGCCTATGCGAGTCACTTTAATGTCTGTCCCTTAACAATAACCTATTAAAAAAATTGCTACTGAACAGTCCAAAGCAGTGTTTGCACACCGATTAAACAAATTTATGCACAGTAAGTTTTGACTAATTCTTAGTAAAGCTACATTGCACAGGCAGGGTGTTCTCACCTGCCTGTCCTGCTCTCCCCCAGTAACTGATACAACAGGGTATTCAGTGCTTTGGCAGGATGCTTGAGCAAAGTTATAACATTGGAAAATACATTGTTAGTCTTTCACTTTTAAATTCTTTCAGACTGGCCATTGAGGAATGCTTGATCTACGCTGGCTGTCTGAAGGTGGCTGGAAACTGTAAGCTGACCGGCTAAGAGTAGTTCCATCAGATGGCTGGCAACCCTGATTTATTTAGGTAGCTGCAAGTTGTGTGGTTCTGAAAATTCATTAGGGGCTTTGTTGTATTTGGATCTTACATCTAATGAAACTCTAAATGCCTGGTCTTAAATGTGTAGTATATAATGTCTGATCATACACAGCTTTTTTCTGTTCTTAAACTGCCTGGTGATCTCACTATAATTCCTTATTTAGAATTGCTGGATTTAGTGACTAACGGCTGTATCTGCATTAAGATGTTGCAGTAGGAATAGACTGGTAGGTAGAAGCACTCGGTGCTAAAGCTCTTATATTACATTGTGGTGTGATTCAGGTATTTTACCTGAATATTTATCCTGGCCTTCTGGATAAAATACCCCCTCCACATATGTGATTCAAATTTGCCTGAAGGGCTGCTTGTTGGTTCAGGATGTTATGCCCCCATGAGGGGCTGGAGTACGTTACCTGTACTCTGGGCTTGAAGTCTTTGATTTTGTTCTGTTTACTCCAAAAAGAATCTAGTTTGCATGCACTTAAATTGCTCTGCAAACCCAATTAAGTGGGGATGATGATGAGATTTGCTTCAAATCCATGCACCAAAACACGAGGTGTGGCAAAGTCCATCCTAACTGTTGCACAAAGACTTACATCTAATGAACATTAATCATAAATGTGACAACTTGTGCTGTGGGTTGAGGGGGGAAAAAGGCAATTTTTCATGCAGTCCACACAAAAATTGATACATGTTTTATTTAGCTACTGGTTCTTTTGCTTCTGTGTGAAGGTCACCAGAACCATCAAAATTATTTTCCCTTCCTTAAAATTCCCTTCCTTTAAAGCACTGAGAATTGTTTCTGTGAGTTGGATCATTCCTTCCACTACTTCAGTGGTAGCATCTCGTACCATCTTCCGAAGAGTAGTATCTTGGCCCTTGGGGAGCCAGTAGAACACTGTGGCAACTGCGAGAATGGCATTTTGGACATCTTCACTCAGCTTCTGGCAATCCTCTGCAGAAGTCAGTGGAGGCCTTGAGAACGTCATGGTTTAACCCTGGTCAGCAACTAAGCACCACTCAGCTACTCGCTCTCTGCTCCCCTTCTGGTGGGGTGGGGGAAGAATTGGAAGGGTAAAAGTGAGAAACTCGTGGGTTGAGATAAAAAGAGTTTAATAATTAAAAAAGAAATAATACTAATTTTTTAATAAAAAAGGAAAAAAGGAACAAAAATAGCAAAGAGAGAGGAAAATAAAACCTAAGAAAGACAAGTGATTCGAATGAAAACAATTGCTCACCACCAACCGACCGATGCCCAGCCTGTCCCTGAACACTGGGTGTAAGCGCTGCTCAGCAATAACGAAAACATCCCTGTGTTATCAACACTGTTTCCAGCACAAATCCAAAGCATAGCCCCATACTAGCTACCATGAAGAAATTTAACTCTGTCCCAGCCAAAACCAGTACAAATGTACAGTATCAAGTCAGGCTTTGCCCACGTGAAGTACATCAGTGTATGTGAATACATCTTTTGCCGTAATCTGTAAAGGTTATTGACCTTTTAGGAAGTCTTGAATGCTCTGGTTTGATTGAGCAGATGATGTTGATCATGGTTGGTGATGGAAATACTAATTTCCTGAGAAATAGTAACCTTTCTTTTCACTTAATTTTTTTTTTTTTTTGCATATGAGGTAAGTTAATTTTAAATTAAAAACTAGTAAGTTTTTTTTGACTAGTAAGCCTCCTGAATCAGAATCTTCAAATCTGATGTTTATCCTAGTGTTATACCTCTAAGGCTGAACTAAGGTGAATTTTAAAACTAGTTAGTGAAAGAAACTGGAAGTAAAGGAATATGGAAAATGCCCTTTGTTTTCTCATTTGGGTACTTGTGAAGTTGGATTTTACTGAAGCGAAACCATTTCATCTTCTTCTTCTGGTTTCTTCTTTTGAGGAATGTATCCGCAACAGGTCCAGATTCAAGGTCATCCGCGGAATTGGAATGTGATACTAGCAAATATAATTTGATAGGAGCAGTTTCCAAAGAGGAAATATGTTTGGATTTTGTGTAATAACTTGGTGTTTCCTGTATGTTTAGATATATGTGTCTGCTGCAATGTATGAGATTTTGCTTGTATTTAATTGGTGTTTGTGGATTGCAGTTGCTCTGCACAGCATAAAGAAACAAAATCCTGCTGTTCTTTGGACTTTGGATGTAAATCTAAATAATAACCAATTGCTAGTAATAAATTGTGAATCTAGTTTTAATGTATGTTAAAACTCCATTATTTTAACTGTCTTGTTCCTCTGACTTTTTGATTCAACAGTAATTTTCACAGGTTTTAATGGTTTCTGCTTAGAATGTAGCTTTGGTAGGTTGAGAAACCGAAATATGCTGCAGTGTGTTTATTTACCTAACTTGGTAAACCAACCAAACAACTTGGGATTAACCAACTGGGTACCAAGCTATACAAAATACTGCTAAGTTGTCATATTGTCTTTTATTGCTATAATACGTGCTAATACACAGACTGCTAGTAAATACCAAACTGAGGACATTCCTCTAAGGATATCCATTTCTGTTAAGCTTTTTGTTGACTATTATAATGTAAACGTTAGTTTTCATTCTGTCTTTGTTGTATATGACAAATGTTTTATATATTTTTACATCAGTAGATGGTACAAAACATGACTTCTCTATTTTCTATTCTTTTCCACAGTATATACTTGAAAAAGAAATCCTCAGGCCTCATACTGGAAGTTAGTTTAAAGATATTAAGCAGTTGACAGGGTCACTATCATGGAAAAGCACAAATTTTTCTTTGTTCTTTTCTAATATTGTAAATATTTAAACTAATTTTATATTATTAACTCTGACATCTCCGTTGTCATATTTCAAATGCAGTTACCTTCCTTTCATGTGACCTTCACTGAGTTTTAGGTGTGTTCCTGTTTGGGTTTTCTTGGGTTCTAGAGAAAAACATAGCAAAATAATTTTACTTTTTGTTTTGCCTTTTTGTATAAAATGTTAATATTTCTTCTTGTGTATTTGCTCTCCCTTTGGTAATACAGATACCGATTTGTTGGAATAAAACATAACATTGGACAAGCAAAAGTAATTTCATTTTTTCTGTTTCTAGATGGAATCAGTGTTAGTGGACTTCCGCTCTCCAGTCCTTTTCGGCAGGTTGTCAAACCAAGAGTAGAGACTAAACCTATTAATGCACAAGAAAGCAGCAAAGTCGGTGACTTCAGTCATGTGAAGGTAAGTAAGTGACATCAAAATAAGTAAAAGAGTTGGTTTTCATTGTGCTGTGTTATGGTTTGTTGTGTGATTAAAAAATAAAGGTTTCTTTGTCTCATAAATATTGCCCTTTAGTTTGTTTCGTTTGTTTTTTTTTTTTTTTTTTAAAGAACAGCTTGATGTTCTGTGTTTGGATTGTTATATTAGAACAAACAAACAAAAAGGTGACACAAGATCACGCTAACAGTAGAAATTGTAAAGAGTTGGTTGTCAGTATGGTACACTCAAGGAACTGTCAGTTCTTCACCTCATGTTGCTTGCTTACGCTGTCTGCTCTGTAGGAAGGTGCTTCTGGGTGAATTCTTGCTTTTCTTACATTAAAATGAACGGAAGGATTTCTACCTTCTAAACATTTTGGGATCAAAGTCTTATCTTTGCACTTGCAGTAGTAAGCCTTTTAGAGGTGTTCATGTAAGTAATAAAACAGACTAGTTAAGAGAGCCAAAAGAAAAGTAAATAAAAGCAGCAGGATGAAAGAACAATTGCGTAGGTAGAAGCTGCACCATGCTTACTGAGAGGGAGTCTTCCCTGGAGTAAGCTAGTGTTTGTTTTTCTGTTGAAGATCTTACCTGTTGAAGATGTAAACTACGTGTTTTGAGCAGTGAAATAAGAATGAGCTTCATACTGGCCAGATTTGCAGAAGCTCTAATTTAAGATTAAAATAAAAAAGATTGTCAAAAATGTACTGTAGCACTTCGCTGATCTCTTCCATAGCTTTGGTGGATGTTTTGCATGCCTTGTAGTATTTGATACATTTCCTACATGGATCTGTGTTCTGCATTAATTCAGTCAGTCAGAATTCAGATCGAGCGTTGTACACTGCAATATTTGGCTCAGCATGTGTTCGGCCGAGAAGCAAACACAGGCTTTGCATGTGAATTTGCTTTTTTCCCAGTGAGGTTATTTACAAATTGATCAATAAACAGATGATGCTATTAATTTTTACGTATGTTTCTTTTGGACCATTAGTACTGCTAATTCATCATCATTTGATTCTGCAGTACAAAAAGGAAGATGACAGCATATGAAAGATGATAAAAAAATTACTAAAGCCTTTCTTTGTACTTTATGACATAGCAAGGTATTTCCTAATTGTTCATAAATATAAATCAGCATGATTGAGGAAACAATTTGATATTTAAGTGGGTAAAATTTCCAGCATTAATTTTTAAGTTTAGACTTCGAGTAGGAAGTCTGACCTATAGATGTTTCTGACTTACGGAAGCAATGGGAATGTTATTTCGAAATGGGACTAAAAATCCAGAAATGCAGAATTTCTTTGCACCAAATACATGAAAAAACTCTTTTGGTACACTTTTTGTTTGTCAGCCAGTTGTCCGGGCAACCAAGAAGTTGCAGGTTCACAATGACTTATGTGATGGTATTACAAGGAAGTTGGAGAGCTGTAAAGCAAGAACTTGCTTTTTAACAGTGTATAGTGAAAGAGTCTGGTAGGAATGCACATGCTTGATTCTGTTGTTAGGTTTATGGAATGAATTTTGATTTAATTAATTGGTATTTCGTGATGGAGGGACCTTGCAGGTGATCAAAACTATGTTCAATAGAGAATACACATTCCAATAGCATCAAGGTGTTCCTTGCTCATTAAATTTATCTGTGTATTGAGCCTGACTTGTATGACTGCTGTACAGCTCTCATAGCATGCCCAAAATTAACAATTTACTGTGTTAACATCTATTCTAAAACAGGCTTAATCACTAACCTTGCACTTTTTGTAATGTTTAGAAGAGACGATTTATAGAGGGGGGGGGAATAAAAATCAGGGTGTTAAAATAGCCAACGGGATATAGCTTTGGAGGAAGTCTACAAAATTATGCTTCTAATTACATAAATTATTATCATTCTGATCATATATTTGCAGACGACATCCACGACAGGAAAAATATGACATACATTTTTCCAGTATTTATAGGATTGGTCTATTGTAGATGAGGAGAGAGAAAACCACAGTAAGGTATCGCCATCTGCAGGGTGATTTACTGCCATGGCTCATTCCATTTAAACAAATGTCCATTTCTATAACTTCTACTTCTATTTACCATGTTAATATACTTATAAATAATTATCTTATCCCAGTTTGTCCCAATTAAACTACTATAAACCAATCATTGGATCTACCTGGACTGAAAATGCTTATGAAGTTCAGAACTATTTAGAATATCTTAGAAGTATTTTTCGATTCACCAGACTACCCACATAATTAAGTCTCTATGTATATGGACGTACATAGCTGGTACTGGGCAAATGACCAGAAGAAATTACCTGTCATAACTGAAGAGATTGCATTTGTCTGTTTAGATGACTACGTCACGTCTGACTGCTAGTCATTCTGTGATGAGGTGTTATGTCGAGCTTTTTCCCCTGCTGTCTACTTCCGTCTAATATTGTCTGTTTATTTCTGTTTGCAACTTCTCTCTACTCTGAGAGTGCTCTTTAGTAGGAAGAAACGTAAGAAGCACCAGAAGCTTAAAATAAAAGCTAGACAAATTCCAAATAAACTATCAAGCAGTTCTTGTAAATAATTGAGTCAATTAAGCATTTAAAGATATAATTAGAATGTGTTCTGGTCCAGTTTTCTTGGCTGGGTTCTGAGGAATTTGCTGTGGTTTTGGTTTTGACTTGCTTGGTTTTGGACTGAGTATCTTCCAGAGTACGTGAATCTATGTTCGTTGTTAAATGCGAACACTTTTGCTCAGTAAGAACATTGTTGTCTAAAATGTAGCAAACCGGGATATAGACGAGAGAGGATCCAAGGTTCCTTTTGAACCTGAGCCTCAAAATATTTGATATTTATGAATCTTTTTGAGTTCCCTAGAACCTCCTTAAAAGATACTGAAGTGTCTTTCTGTTGCTGCAGAACAATTCAGTGCTTGTGGGCTATTGCTTGTGTCCTGCACAGTGCTATTTGGGATGATTGATTGATTATGTTTTAAGGTTTATGTTGTAATAGTCGAGCCAATTAAAGTGGTTTGACAAGGACTAATGTAAGAAGCAACTGGGAGTTTTTAAGTTAAGAAACAAGATTGATTTTAAACAGTTTGTATGTGTGACGAAAATGCTCTGCTGTTGTTTCTTCATGATTTAGGTGTCTGTTGTGAATATTCAGGAGTAGTTATTTTTCAATCCTGTATGCTGTGCATGAGCTAGTCTTCAAATAAAGGTGAATTTTTGCAAATGAAAATTAATGTGAATCAATGCTTCTCTTGTAGCTGATTCTGAAACGTCCTTGTTTGGATATTTATAAGTCTTAATGCTTAAAGCTTCCCTCCCAACTTGTTTGCCTTACAATTTTTGTGCTTCAGTCTTGGATATTGCCAGTATGGCAGTAGAACTTCTCTGCAGTCTGTTTTCAGTTTTGCTACAGGCTGTCTTCTACTAAACCAGTCACTGGCTACTGAAAATGACTGTATAATGATCTCATAAATTCTTTATGACCTCATCATAAAGCTTGCTTGTACCCTCAGGCTGAATAGAATATCACAGTGTAACGTTATGTTCAGATGAACTGTTTTCTACTGTTCACTGCTGAGTAGTTGTGGTAAGCATTGCCTAAAACCTTGGTCGTTCTAGGGTGCATCTGTACGGCAGAGTGAGTTAGCCCCTGCTTAGCTCTGCATTGCTGTGGTTATACTGGTATGTGAAATGGTCTATTTTAAGGCTGAATCTGTTACTTTGTGAGTAACGCTGCAGTGTGTTTAGATATTCAACTATTCTATGCCTTAATGCAAAAGCTGTAGAGAGAAATTTAAACAAATATCATAATCTCTCAGCAAACAATGTGTTATTTTTAACCTAGGGAATTCTGTACTGCTTTTCATGCTTGGAAGCAGAGATTATTTGGCTTAGTCTAGTTCTTCTCTGTGATGACAGAAACAAACTCTTACTCCATGCCACATATTATGGACTGAGGCTTAGAAATCAGTCTGATCTGTGGAAGTCTGGTCCTTAAAGTCACAGTGATTACTATCACGTAATGGTAATTCATTGGTAGCTCTTTTTTGTCACAAGGTGAAAAGGAGAATTATTCATCAAGATATCTCGGTTCAACATCATGTCCATGGTTTCTTTGGAATAAATCTTTTGGGATTAAGAAATGCTACATGACCCTAACTGGACAAAAGACCAAATCAAGAGTTGAAATGGAGAAGTCTTTTAGTTGGGTGAAGAAAACTTTGAAAGCACATTGTGGGTTTTTTAAAATCTTGGTTTAAGCTGTTGAACATAGACATTGATTACTGGCCAGTTGTATGGCAGACTGAGGGCTGGTTTATAATTTATAAGGGCTTCGGCTGACTTATTTGTTTTGAAACTTGTATGTTCAGGAGAATTTGCCTCTGCATGCTGAACATGAGCTATAATTCTAGAGAATTATTGTAACTGCAGAAACTGGAGACGTTTAAGTAATCTTATGGAACTACTCTGTCCTGCACTATCAGTAAATGGTAGAAAGTGTTAAAATATGATATGTAGAGCTAATCTAATTTAATACACTGTCTTTAGTGTATCTTTTCTGATTTAGTCAGTAGTGTATTAAAATGAGATACAGGCCTTAAATGGAATTTTTCCATGCACTTCTTAGGCTCTGCTCTTCTAGTATGAAAGTATGCTGTTAATTGAGATAAACTTTACTTTGTTCATGCTTTAAGCTCAAACTCCTTTTATCCGTAAGTCTTAAATCTATTCTCTTTAAACCCTTAAACAGAAAAAGTTGCTTTTTTTTTTTTTTGTTAACTTTTAAAGAATCCTGGATCCTGCTGATGTTAGCGGGGATGTTGAATCTAGGGAGCACAACTGAAATTTAGATTCCTTCTTTTTGGCTGGCTAAAAGTGAATTTAGGAATAAGATCTTAGGCACAAACATATAACCCAAGTTTGATGTTCTACTTCCACACTGTCCTATTTTGGAATTCAATACTATGCTTGTAAGTTCTGTGACCCTG